ACACACTCGTACACTCACTCTCACACACTTACTCTCATACAGTTACTCACACACTGACACTCGTACACACTGTCACTCCCACACAGTTACTCAGACACACGCATATACACACTCTGATATATATTCACACACACACAGACACACACAGATACGCACTCATACACGCAGACACACACACACACACACACAGACCCACTCACACAGACACGCACACACACAGACACACAGACACACACACGGACACACACACGCACAGACACACTCACACAGACACACACACATGCAGACACACAGACACACGCACGCACAAACACACTCACACAGACACACACACCTGCAGACACACAGACACATACACAAACACAGATACACACACACATACACTCACACAGAAACACACACAGACAGACACACATACACATACACACACTCACAGACACACACACACTTACACAGATACTTACACACACACTCAGACACTTTCACAGACACACACACACATACACACACACACACACACACACACACACACACACACACACACACACACACACACACACACACACACACACACACACACACACACACACACACACATACACACACACAGACACACACACACTTACACAGACATTTACACACACACACACACACACAGAGACACACACACTTTGACAGACACAGACACACACACACAGACATAGACACACACACAGACACAGACACACAGACACACACACCCACAGACTTTCAAAAGCTTGGTCCTACTCAGACCGTCTGTTCATTCAGATCACTGAAGTCAATGTGGGAAGAGAATTGAGGAAAGGCGTGTCCTGGAGTGAGCTCTGACTGACATTGTTTATCTGTGAACATGAGACTATACAAGGAGCAAAAGGGAGTGCTCCTCAGTGTGCTCTCAACTGCCAGCCCAAAGAAATCCCTTAGTTTCATTTCTGTTCCTTCCTGGTCACAGGAGCTTGCTGGGCACAAATGAGCTACTCAAGTTTCCTCACCACAAGAAGGACTGCAGCTTCTGAGGGTCACTCATTGGCATGGATTACACTCCCTTGGGGATCAGTCCTGGCTGAGTCATTACCCAACACCGGGATAGCCAAGTTTTTTATTGATAAAGAGGAGTGGAGGATTGTGGGGGACAGACAGGAAAGCAGAGGGGTGGCTATGGACATATCCGTCTGGATCTCATAGAAGGTTGAACAGGCTTGATGGGCCGAATGGCCCACTCTTTATGTTATTTATGGAAAGTGCTTTGGGATGCAAAGCTGACAGAGCCTTTGTAGCCTTTGTTTGACATATCATGCGAAAGGCAGCTCCTCTGTCAGTGCAGCACACCCTCGGTAGAGCACTAGATGAATTCAACTTTTTGGATTTGATTTGCTTTGATTTATTATTGTCACATGCACCAAGATGCAGCGAAAAATATTATTTTGCGTGCTATCCAGACAAATCATACCTCACATAAGTGCATCAGGGTAATAGAACAGAATACAGAATATAGTGTTACAGCTACAGAGAAGGTGTAGAGAAGGATCAACTCTAATATAGGGGAGATCCATTCATAAGTCTGATAACAGCGAGGAAGAAGCTGTTCTTGAATCTGTTGGTACGTGTTTTCAAACTTTTGTATCTTCTACCCATTGGAAGAGGATGGAGGAGAGTATGACCAGGGTGTGAGGGGTCTTTAATTATGTTGGCTGCTTTCCCAAGGCAGTGGGAAGTGTAGTTGGATTCAATGGAAGGAAGGCTGGTTTGTGTGATGGACTGGGCTGTGTTCACATCTCTCTGTAATTTCTTGCGGGTGGGATAGGGTGCTGGAACCTACGATTTTCTGATTCAACTAGCCAGAGTCCCAAGGCAGCCAAGGGTGCTACGGAAATGCAGATAACGATTCCGAGCTGCAGTTTGTAGCGGGTGACCGGGATTGTGTGAATGTGCTGTAACGGTGCCATCTCTAACAATTCCTTCCTTTCTCCCTGTTATTCCACTATCACCACACCCCCCATGACCCCTCCACCTTCTTGCCTCCCCCAATCCCACCCTGCCCCCAGAATGGTCTGAGACGTCAAGAGGCCACATTGCTCACCCCTCTCCAGCAACTGGAGAGACAGGTCAATGACCTCCGACTGGAGGCGACCCAGACGTCAGGTGGGGAGCTGGAAATTGACAGCCGACCAAGTTCTGGTAAGCAATGGAGGGTGGGGGGGTGGTGGGGGGACGGTGTGGGTGGGGGTTGGGGGTTTGCAGGGATGGGGGTGGAAGAGTGTGGCAGGGGTTGTGTATTTATAGGGTTTGTACAATATTCAGACTTTCAAGCCAACGATAGAAAGTGAAATTCCTGTTGCACAGAATGTCTTTCAGTTATCCCATTAGGTTTCTTCCTAAGTCATTGGCCAGACTGTATTTTTCATATAGAGACAGACAGGATAACTAATGATTCAGAGCCCTTTTACTCACATTGATGCTGTCTAGTTTAACAATCACTCACGAGCTTTTCACAGGAAAATATCTGCAATGTTCACCTTCCTCCTCCTTTGAAGGCAGAAAGCATCGCGTGACAGGATCGATGGTAACAGGTTAAAACAATGTAGTCAGACTTATTTCCGAGCAAAATCTTATACAGAAGCAAACAAATAGTGCTGCACCATTGTGGTATTGGCCAAATGCCAAAGTTAGAGTCATAGATTTGTACAACATGGAAACAGACCTTTCGGTCCAACTCGTTCATGCTGACCAGATATCCTAAATTAATCTAGTCCCATTTTCCAGAATTTGGCCCGTATCCCTCTCAACCCTTCCTATTCATGTACCCATCCAGATGCCTTTTAAATGTTGTAATTGTACCAGCCTCCACCACTTCCTCTGGCAGCTCATTCCATACACTCACCACCCTCTGCATGAAAAAGTTGCCCCACAGGTCACCTTTTAAATCTTTCCCCTCTCACCTTAAACCTATAGATTTGGACTCCCCTACCCTGGAGAAAAGAAACTTTCATTTTCCCCTTTATTCATTCACGGGTTGAGGGTGTTGCTGGCTAGGCTAGTATTTATTGCCCAGAGGGCAGTTAAGAGTCAACCACATTGCTGTGGGTCTGGAGTCACATGTAGGCCAGACCAGGTAAGGATGGCAGTTTCCTTCCCTAAAGGGCATCAGTGAACCAGATGGGTATCTCCCCAGAACAATTGGCAATGGAGTCACAGTCATCATTAGACTTAATTCCAGATTTTTTTTTTTTGAATTCAAATTCCTCCAACTGCTGTGGCAGGATTTGAACCCTCAGGGCATTATCGGGGTCCCTGGATTGACAGTTCAACGATAATACCACTAGACCATTGCATCCCCCTTTACTGCAGATGCTGTAAATCAGAAACAAAAATGGAAATTGTTGGAAAAGCTCAGCAGGGCTGGCAGCGTCTGTGAAGATAAATCAGAGTTAATGTTTCAGGTCGAATGACCCTTCCTCAGGACTGGGAAAAAGACGTCGACTATTCACCCTATCCATGCCCTTCGTGATTTTATAAACCCTCTATAAGTCACCCCTCAGCCTCAGTTGCTTGGAGTCTTTCTTACAATGTTATATCCTGAACAATAGATAGATTGGAATTCACTGAAGGAGATATCGGGGGTAGCAGAGATTTGGTGATAAAACCCATGGACTGTGCCTGTGAATGCAGCTCCCCATCAGACATGCAGTAAATTGACCACAAAAAGCAAACAGAAATTGCCGAAAATATCCCAGGCACATCTGTCTGGACCTGTAGCGGGAAAAGATAGGTTCCAGATGTTCTTGCTCAAGGCATACAACATCCCAATTCAAGGGTTTAAGGTCAGTTTAGGGACAGTGTTTGATCGCTGTGCCCCTAGGTTCTTCCTGAAGTGTTCCAAGCCCAGTTGCCTTTCAGTGCTGGAGGTGGATTGTCCATACAGTTAGCCTTTTAATCATTTCTCAGTCTCTTTTTTCTCTTTTTCTTGACTATTCATGTTTTTCCCTTCACTTTGTGCGACTGCGTTATATCGAGCTGTCTCTGCTTCAACTGTGTCTCTCTGCTTTTCCAACTCCTTTTTCTCTTATTTCTTTATTGGGATCTTTCCTTCTCATTGAGGGATAGTGTGGGAAGATGCTGTTAAGTTGTCAGGTCAGTTGTGATCTCCTCGAATTCGTAGACCAATTTGACCAAGGGGCAAAATAGCCAACTCCCACTTTTGCATTTTATTAGCACTGGTGCATCCTTTCCTGTCTCTCTCTGCCCCTTTCACAATTAGAACTATAATTAGGTTTTATTGTCACGTGTACTCAAGTACAGGAATACAGTGAAAGGTGTACAATGTCGCCTCACACTGCACCATCTCAGGTACAAAGTACCTAGTTACAAATCTTAGGTACTAAAATAGATTAGGTACAAAAATAGAGAAATAAAGAGAAAAGCTAAAAGTTTGACATTGCTCCAGCTCAATAACCTTCCCCTCCTGCTGCACCCAATCTCTCTACATGCCTGGCTATATTTGTGTTCACCGCAATCTTTGCATTTGCTTAACACCTATGTTACAACAGCGACTGTATTTAGTACAAAAAACTGGCTCTGCATCTCTTCAGGATGACCTGCGGTTGCAAAAGGTGCCATGCAAATGCAGAAGTTACAATCCTCTTGTCCATGTCTGGGTGTCTGTGCCTCCCCTGCACTTGCATGCCCCTTCCCTCCTTGCATCAGCGTGTACCTCTCTGCTCCTTTTGTTTTAGAGCTATACCACCTCTCCCACTGCGGACTGAGCTACTTCACAAAATGGTTTCTGTGTTAGCCTCAAGGATCTGGGAGAGAGAGAGGTCACTGCATCAGTTCCCCTTCGGCAGCAACGAGGCTAATGTGTGCGTGAAATGGCCATTACCATCTTCGCTTTGTCTTCGTTCAGTTCCATAAGTCGCCAATCAGGGCACAGTCAAGGTGTCAGCAACAGGTTGGTGGTGGGTCAAGGGGGTTCCAGCCCCACCTGCTCCAGGGGTGTCTCTGACCAGGTTGATTGGAAAATATCTGACCTTTGTCAGAAACAATACCCCAAATGCTCCCGCTCCCTCTTCACTTTCTCAAACTCAAAAAGGCTCCCAGTGTCTCACAGCTGAGATAGTCAGACCCCCTCCCCACTTTCAGCCTCCTGCTGTTGGAATAGTTATGGCTGCCTTTAATGCTCAGCTCCAGGGAGGTGCTTCTACTAAGACTAGTGGCTTGGTGGTTAGCACTGCTGCCTCACGGTGCCAGGGACCTGGGTCCAATTCCACCCTCCGGTGACTGTCTGTGTGGAGTTTTCATGTTCTCCCCGTGTCTGCGTGGGTTTCCTCCCATAGTTCAATGATGTGCAGTTTAGGTAGATTGGCTGTGGGAAATGCAGGGTCTTGGGAATAGGGTAGGTGATGGGGTCTGAGTAGTGTGCTGTTTGGAGGCTTGGTGCAGATGGGCTGAATGACCTCTTTCTGCACTGTAAGGATTCTATGATCTATATAGTGATATTCCCATCCTTGGGATGTGTGAGGTTTCTTTCATAAAATAATGGAATGATACAGCATTTGAGGAGATAGCCAGTGGAGTGTGTTTTGCAGCCACTAGTGTGGTAGACAGGGCAGATAATGTGTGTATGCACAGCCATGAGGGCTAGGAGCAGGAGGAAGCCATTAAGCCTTTCGAACCTGAGATCATGCACAATTTTCCATTCCTGCACCATCCCCCTGACATTTTGAATCATCGATGGCAATCTTGAGATCACAAACGTGAGATGAGTTGCTCTGGGGTGAAGAATTCCAAAGCCTCCACTGCCCTCTGAGTGAAAAAAATTACTCATCATAGCCCTAAATAGGTTGCTATCCATCCTGAGACTGTGTCCTCTCCTTCCAAGCTGCCTCCTAGTGAGAGGTGATGGCCTAGTGGTACTATTGCTGGACTGTTAACCCAGAGAGATCCCAGGCATTATCCTAGGGACCCAAGTTCAAATCCTACCATTGCAGATGGATCCACACCACATGATAGAGTTTGAGTCTGATAGAAAATATCTGGAATTAAGAGTCTAACAGCAACCATGAATCCATTGTCAATTATCAGGGTGGAAAAGAACTCTCATTTGGTTCACTAACTTCCCTTATGGAAGGGAATCTTCCATCCTTACCTGGTCTGGCCTATATGTGACTCCAGACCCACAGCAATGTCATCAACTTTCAACTGTCCTCTGGGCAGCTAGGGATTGATAGTAAATGCTGCCTGGTCAGTGATGCCCTCATTCCATGAATGACTAAATTCTTAAAAAGCCTCGTCCCTACATTGACAATATCAAGCTCTGTCATGATTTTGTATCAACCTTTTGGACATGGGGGCAGGAGGGACTTAGAACCTGGATCTTCGGGCCTAGAGGCAGGGATGCTACCACTGCATCACAAGAGTCCTCAGAATTTTGTATATTTGTTTGCAATCACTTCCTATTCATTTAAACCCTAGAGACTGTTGGCCCAGTCTGTTTAATCTTCTCATATGTTACTCCCTCCATTTAGTTCAGTGGAATCTTCATTGCACTCCCTTCATGCCAAGGATATTGTTCCTTAGGTAAGGAAGCCAAAACTGCCCACTATATTCTCACTGTGGTCTCACCAAGGCTGCATAAAATTGCAATTTTACTCATGTACTCAAAGCTTCTTGGAATAAAGGATAACACACCATTTGCTCTCTTGGTTACAAGGCAAGGTCCCACAAATAGCAAGGTAATACTGACCAGCCCAACTTGTTTATTTGAGAACTTGTAAACTCCACAGGAGCAGTCACCTGAGGGAAGGATTGAACCCAGGTCCCTGGCGCTGGGAGACAGCAGTGCTAATCACTGAGCCACCGTGCCGCCAAATTTATATATTGGTTAAGGGAGAAATATTGACCCAGGCCACCAATGAGGTGCGTGGAGAGATTCACCCACTCTTCTTCGAAATTTTTAAGGTGAGAGGAGAGAGATTTAAAAAAGACAAGGGAGGCAAATTTTTTGCACAGAGAGTGCTTCACATGTGGAAAGAACTCCCTGAGGAAGTGGTGGATGTGGGTACAGTTACAACATTTAAAAGACATTTGGATAAGTACATGAATAGGAAAGGTTTGGAGGGATATTGGCCAAGCGCAGGCAGGTGGGACTAGTTTAGTTTGGAATCATAGTCAGCATGGAC